AGTTTCGTAAACGTTTGATTTATACTTATGACCATATCAATGTAAACTCATGTCATCGCAGAAGCGCTGTCAATATAATAATAAAAGTATTATTGAAGCCCAAAAGATTCATAGTATAGATTAAACCTGTCTCGGTTGTATGTTTATATTAACTCAAAATGTGTTTTAAAACGATAACTTACACGGATGTTAATGAACCCAAAATTAAAGTCAAAGCACGACAATACATTGCTTAAAGAACGAAAAATGAGATATTTCTTTAGAAATGGAATTGTCATTTGATATTTGCTTTAATTGTTTTACAACATAATTGCTTGATTGTATAGATATTTTTAAAAACAAAACACGGATATTAATTGATCCGAATTGATCCAAATTGCAAACAAACACATACACAACAGTTATACAATTAAAAGTTCAAAAGAAAAACCTATGGTATAATTTCCATTTTACCTGCCAAGACGGATGTAGTTAACCGAATTTAAATATAATATAATTGATTTTCTAAAATGTTTGAATAAGTTAAAGATTTTTAAATATTTTGGCTTCGAACATCACTGATGAGACTTAATTATTAAAATGTGCATCTCGTGCAGTAAAACTGTTACACTTAATATTAAAATTATTTGTATAGAAAGCACATAAAATCGGCCAAAACCTTCTAAAATGTGTCTTAAAATCGTCAAATCTCTAATTCTACTCCATAGATTTTTCTTAAAAAACTATATGTTGTTGATAAATAAATTTCCGTTTTAACGATCCAAAATAAAGATAGAGTCACCGACTTCGTTTTTACGGTGAACATCATACCAAGTGGTGTTTTATGTGAAAAAAATCCAATAAAACGTCGAAATAATCCTAACGGCATCGCGTTGCAGTCCGTAAAACGTTGATTTTTTACGTTTTTCACTACAAAAAAGGTAACAAATTGATCATAAGACAAAAAACGAGATCGGTGACCATATGTTTATTTTATATCATTAAAACAGAAATTTATGTATCAACAACATATAGTTTTTTAAGAATAATCTATGGAGTAGAATTAGAAATTTCACGATTTTAAGACAAATTTTAGAAGGTTTTTCGCCGATTTTATGTGCTTTCTATACAAATATTCATTCATATTGAAAGAAATCAATCTGTAATATTTCAGATAATAAAAGAGATAAATGCATTATTTTTTCGATTTTCAGTTGCAGTTCAACGAGCCAAGGTTGCATGCAAAATTTTAGCAAAATCTGCGACATAGCCCATTTACTGTTCCTTGACCTTAAGTAACACTTTCTTAAGTACCAACAAGTTGAAACGTCGTAGTCTTAGAACCTAACATGACTTACAAGTGAATAATGTTGGCAGCAAGAGGGTGTTGGGTAATCATTTTAAGATCGTACACACCAGATGACCAAGATGTTTCTTTTGTAGTAGTAAAAAGAGGTAATATCGCATGTTTAAGTCTTTCCTCTGCATATTGTAACGACATAGACATTTTTCACAGAGATGTTCTTAATCAAGGTTAGTGTCACACACCATAAAATAAAATACAGTAAGAAAACTATGTTGATACTCATAGTCTCATTCCGCTAGATAATACACGATTTGTTGTCGCACCTTTACCCCTGTCAAGACATACGAACAAACATTTTTCGTCAACTTTGTTGATGCTCATATTTCTACGTCTCACTCAGTTAAGTTTTTACTCACTTTTTTGACGTGCTAGGTGCTAGTCTATTTGGATATACACTGTTGATTAACATTAATCTAATCTCACTTCGGATGGATAACAACTCTATTAATGCTCATAATATTACTCCATTTTGTGATTAAAACTTTAATGATGTACCTGATCTAACCAATTTTGTATAACAACTCCGTTAATGCTCATAGTCTCAATTCGTTTGTTAATTGACACTTTGTTGATTTTTAAAGTCTTACTCCTTATGAATATTCTTTCTTTGTAGATTCACCTTTTCGACAAAATATATGTTGATGTCTCTCTCTTTTTGGATGTACTTTAATTGTTGATGTAAATATTTTTTCCTGTATACCTTGTTTAGTTGGTTCACCTATTTCAACCACGGTTTTAGATGTTCTCCGTTGATGCTCATAGTTCCATTCCATTTGGCAATACTCTCAAGTTGATGATGCACCTGTTTGTTAATACTCACTATTTTGTGTCATCTATTTTCATTCTCATGTTGGATTCTCTGTTCATGCTTATAGTCTCGTTCCTATTGGTGATTCCTTCTTTGTAGAAACCTCTAGTTTCACTAAGTTTGGATATACTTAAACTCCCGATTCGCATATCCACTCTTCAGTTGCATGACAACTCTGTACATGTTCATATTATACTAGTATCTGCGATTTGTGATTCCTACTTAGTTGATGCGTATATCCGCACTTTGTTGTGATATACTTACACTGTTTATTCACATTATCTCACAACTTTGTTGATGGTTATAATTTTAGTTTGTTTGATAATTACCACTCTGTTGATGGACATAGTCTTGTCACGTTTGGTAATACTGACTTTGTTAACGCATCAAGTCGCAATCTGTTTCGATAAACGTATACTGCTGATTCAACTGTTGGTTCTCTTGTTGGATATAAACTGCGTTGATGCGCATTTTACCACATTGTTTAGAGATACCCCCTCTGTTGACGCATCTAGTCTCACAACTTACACTGCTGATTCACCTGTTTGGATATCAACCCCGTTTGGTGCACATAGTCGAATCCGTTTTAGGGATTCTTTCTATGATGAAACCTCTAGTTTCACTCTGTTCGGACTGTTAAACTATACACCTTATCTCACTTCTGTTGGATAACAACTATGTTGATGCTCATATTTTCATTCCGTTTTGTTTAAACTCTGTTGATTGATGGTCATAGTCTCACTCCCGTTGGTGATTGCCCCTTTGTTGATGCTCACAGTCTTGCTTTGTTTATGGATACTGATATTGTTGACACATCTAGTCTTACTCTGTTAGGATTTACATAATGTCGAATTTCAGAGTCTCACTCTGGAGACTGTAACTGTGTTGTTGCACCTTGTCTAGTATGATTTGAGGTAACCGATACTTACTCTGTTTATACTCGTAGTTTGGAGTTGATGGAACTCTGATTGATTTTTTTCTTGTTTTATAGCTATAACTGAAATTAGAACGAATGTTTAAAGCTCCTTCATTATTGCATAGTTCACCAATCCCCGTTGTTGATACACCAACCAAAATCGCACAATACGCCAATCCATACTGCACCATAAATCATTTCTTATTCAAAAATATATCCTCGTTTTTGTTTGAGTAAATGCGATGTTCCAAGTTTATTTTGTTTATGACTTTTATTTGCCTCGTCATAATCGATTCACGAGATTTGGACATCTGTAAAAAAACAAATGTAGACTTAATCTATATTTTGACCAATTAAATAATAGCTGGACACCGGTATGCTAAATTTACTATTCCTAAATATTCATGCATTACACCATGGTTTATAACGTACTAGTATCTGGCATCATTAAGTAAGCAATACTCGTACAACCATGCATACTTGGATATTTTTGTCGTTACATTTATGTCTTTATGTCAATAGATGTGGTAAGAAATGAACAATAGGTTCTATGTCTACTTAGCTAGAAGCTTTATATGATAAATAACGTGTTATTTACCGAGACGACTAATATCGTGGCATGATGAATAAAAAAATAGCATCTACATTTTAAGCTCTTTTTGCGCTCTTGGGGTAAAAAAAGTTTGTTTCAATAAATTTCAGGAAAATTTTCATCTTATGTTATTTCGGTAATAGCAAAACGCATATTGCATGTTTTGAGGGAAAATTGAAGAATTGTAAAATAGAAGGATTAAGAAGAATTGTAAAATAGGAAGATTAAGAAGAATAAAGATCATTAATAAATCTTTGTTTACCTTTTATTTAGTGATCCACAACTTTAACATTTAAGTTGGTCGATTTTGTTTTACTTTGAAAGTCATAAATCTTTTTAAAAAGTTTACAAATATGTACGTGCCCATAGCGTAGATAATTTGTATCCTTGTATCTATTATGATTTTATTTGTTATTACATAAAACCCGGATCATTCTTTTGTTATTGATTAATTCAAAACACGGTTATAAATTCAAATCTTTTGTTTAATTCGCTGTTATTTGTCTTGTTTTGACAATGAAATAGGTATTTAAGTAATGAATTTGATATTCTGTCAGTTGACTGCATACCATAACACAAATGTAGTTAACACTCGCATTTAAAGAAATGTTGTCAGATTTGTGCTTTTCGCTTTTAGTTGTTATATTAGTTTATAATTCTAGATCTTCAAGTGAATCTTTAGATCAAGATCGGATATTGGATAAATTAAAACATTTTTTTTATCAAGAATTTCGGAATTTAAGTTTGGAGAAGCCCTCAAATGGTACAGGACTAATTTTGCCCTCAAATGGTACCAGACTAGTTTTATCAGACGTTTTACAAGAGAAATTTGGACGTGGTGATTTAAGATGTGACTCCTTTTGTTATAGCATAGAGTGTTGTATTTGTAATATCCATGAGGAGTTCGAAGTAAATGGTCTCTTACTCGCAAAAAATAGGAATGATAAAACCATACTGATTCCTACTTCACCGCTCGCCCGGACACATCTTATAATCAGTTCTAATCAAAGTTTCCACAGTTTACCTAGTAATATTTGTGATTATCCGACCATTTTCAAAATATATTTACAATACAACAAAATCAAAGATATCGATCTTTTATCATGTCTTGAATTACTTGATACATTAATACTACATCATAACCAAGTGGAATACTTTAGTACAGAAATATTTCTTAACATGACTGAGATTCGTGTAATTGACTTGTCTCATAACAGACTGAAATATATCGAACCTGGATTTTTGATTAACGTGAATGGAAGTTTGTTTGAATTTGATGTGTCATACAATCATATTACTACCATAGATATTACAAATATATTTTGGTCACAGTTACTGCAAATGTTTCACATAATTCTATACACTCTTTGACAAACGAACTGGAATGGAAAAATCAAGACAGTTCCGTTTTTTCCAGGAAAGGATCGGTAGATATATCGTATAATAACTTTACATACTTTTCGATTTTTGATGAAGAAGGTCTAAACATTAAACATGCAGGAAAATTATATTTTTGGGTCTTTCATTTGGAAGGAAATCCTTGGATTTGCGACTGTAAATTTTATTCAATTGCAAAACCATCTAAAACAATTGTTAAAATTTATAATGATGTAAATGTTTTTTTAGTTTGTGATTCTCCGATACAACTTAAGATGAAAACTTTGACAAACATCATTGCTAATTCCGAGCTGGATCAATTAATTTGTAACTTGTCATTAGCTGAACGATGCCCACCACAATGCAACTGTTTTTATCAGCCAGCTTTAGACAATAGAACAGTCGTTGATTGTGCTGCCTCTGGACTCACACGTATTCCGTCAGCTCTGCCCTTGTATGACCATCTACAAATAGATTTCACAAACAATAACATACGAAATTTAGAAAGGATAGAACAGTTTGGGTTGAACTTTTTTGAAAGGATAAATAAACTTGATCTTTCAAATAACCAAATTATAACCATTTCGGATCTAGTGCTATATCGTTTTAGAAAAATACAACTGGTCAATTTGACAAGCAATGCAATAAAACTAATTCCAAGGTCATTGCAGATGCTGAAGCCATGCCAGATTGCTTTAGGACAAATTATTATGAAATGTGAATGCCAGGATCTTTGGCTGAAAATATGGTTACCGTTGTAATACCAAAGCTGTGCTAGAAACACACAAGTTTTGTGTGAACACGATGGACTACTACGTTCTATTACTGAAATGGAAGAAATAGATCTTGGCTGTTCTGAGACAAATAACAATGCCTCGTTGTTAAACATTTCGATATGCTCAGCATTTGCTGCAGTGATCATGATTGCATCGATTATATTTAAACTAAGATCTGAATTGTTTATATTAACAAGATCTTTTGTCAACATCGTAAAGAAGCCAGTAGCGCCAAATTGTATAAAACACGACATATATATTTCTGCAAATGAGGATGATCCACTAGTTCGAAAATGGTTGTTAACTTCTTTTGTTCCTTATCTTGAGAAAAAAGGTTTTGATGTGTTTTTATTTTTCAGAGACAGTGCATTCGGAGCCCCTCGAGAACAAGAGACGATTGATGTCATGTCCAAAAGCCGTAATTTTATAATACTTCTTAGTGACATTACCAATGGCACTCAGGAGTGGAATAAGAAAGAATGGAAATATGCTTGGAATTATTACAAATGGGACTTCAGTCGGAACCTTATTGTCATCAATTACGATTTCGTAAAATGCGATGACATTGTAAAGAAGTTCTTTCGAGGGTTTTTTACTTTAAGAAAGGTCATTAACTTCTCGAACTTTGATAACAATATTAAAGAAGATATTTTAACATTACTGAAATAAAAAAAGTCTTTATTACTGACGAATTACTGTTTTTTTTCCTGCCAAAAGAATTGTTGAAGTAAAATAAATTAAAACGTTTTAAAGTTTTCTTGTATTTCATGAGTAGTCTCTATGAAATAAGTGAGGTGAACGATATCAAAGGTATCGTTGTTCCAAAAAAAATGGCAATTCTTTGGCCTAAAGAAAGACTTACGAACAAACGACAATCACCATTTTACAAAACACGACATAAAAAACCAAAGACTGAGCAAGACGAACCTCTACGATGGTTATCACGGGTGCTGCCCCAGAGGGTTATCAGATCCAGCTTCATATGCGACATCCGTCGTGTTGCTCCTTTAAGATGTGTTAATAAGTTATATGACCTGATTTGTTATCACGCAATTGACTCTCATCTAACTCAACACAGCATCAAATTCGTTGCTTTGATAGGAAAAGAGTAATGTTGGATATACGTCACTGAGACCTTATTATTCGAATATCTAAATCATTGGTTTTAACCATATTTATACCAAAAAGTAAAATCACTAAGTTACTGAACTCCGAGGAAAATTCAAAACGGCAAGTCCCTAATCAAATGGCAAAATCAAAAGCTCAAACACATCAAACAAATGGCTTAAAACTGTCATATTCCTGACTTTGTACAGGAATTTTTTGATGTAGAAAATGGTGGATTTACCCTTGTTTTATAGCTAGCTAAACCTCTCACTTGTATGATAGTCGCATAAAATTCCATTATATTGATAACGATGTGTGAACAAAACAAACAGACATGATAGGCAAACAAATTAGGGGACAGCAGTCAACATTGTGTTATAATCTTAATCAGTATAAAAACAAACAAATATGTAACAAAGAAGCACAAAAAGGCATATAGACACAGCACAGTAGCAAAAATGAAAGACAAGAATACAAAAATTTACAATAGCACAATAGCACAATGACGCGATGTTAAAGTACAAAGCCACGTCATATGTAGCAAAGAAACACAAAGGCATATAGACAAAGCACATTTTTACAAATTTGTACTCTACATACACATGTTTACTATTCATGCACCTTTCGATTATAGAGCGAATAGTCGAGTGCCACATTGATAGAAAACATTATATTTAGAGTAAACCTATGGCAAATTGGTATACATATGGTACAAATAAATGATGTTTATTAGAAATCGGGGATTTATGATATTAAGGGGAGGGACCATGTGGACTCAACAGCGGGTCCTGTTATATTTACCCTGCCCACTTTCTCCCTCCTATGTCATGTTGAATTTTATGATTGTTAAATAGAACAGTGCTCCAAAAATTGGAAAATCTGCAAGGAAAGTGAAAAATTACTTGTACTGACCAAGTTTGATTTTGTCCTGGTTACCACAGCATTGACAATAATTAACCTACATATTTAATCTGTTAAGATATAAGGATCGCATATTAAGTTTTTTATTCAAGTATCTTCTGTACCTCACCGTTTTTGATGCTATAAATTAGAAATATTTATAATAACTGATTTTTGCTCGCAATTTCGTCTAAATATAAACCCATTTTAACTGGTTCAAACACATGCTCGCGTCACAACTTTGTGATATGCCACAAACTTTATTGTCTCGTTCACCTGTTAATTTCTTTGAGTACATAACATAGCCCGAGACAGCACAGTCATACTTGAACTCATGATAAACCAAACGAAGTCTTTTCTCGGTTGTGTGGATATGTTTTCCTTTCTTAGAGTAAGGAATCACTATTAGCAATGTTTTCTATTAAAATTGAATTAAAAAAAAAACTATTTGATTACTAGGTACTTTAATTATAAAACTACAACAGTCTTTTATTATACCTATATATGTGTCACATGACAACGATATGCACTTATTGTCGTATTTACGTCATCCTTCCTCGTTTGTGATATAACAAAATTAGACTATTTACAGAATCAATAATTACCATGAAGGGTATTAAATGTTGAGCAAAGATCTGCCGAATAATATGAAGCACATGCAATCAACTTCACTTTTTGTTGGAACTCGTGTTTCTTAGTCTATAGTCTTGTATTTAGTATTTGTGATAAACATTGCTTTTTTCTAGACAGCTGAAAATCATAGATACAAATGTTGTGTTCTATGTCACGAAATATCTCCCTTTCTATAGAACATTATCAATGTAACAGCACAAACACTTACGTTTTTCATGGGTATTGATATTGTTTCCTCTTTTTGACATTTGCTGATTGCAACTAATATATTTTAATTATTCTTCGAAAATAAAGAATCAGTTTAGACGTCTTTTAGAGACTCAATTCAACCGGTTGAATAATAATCATATATTTTATTGTGATTGTTATGTTTATAATTATATGTTTAAGGTAAAACACGACGAGAATAACTTGCCGAAACGATATTCATGGCAAAAAAAGAAAAATAGTTTTATTTTAACACCAATAAAACTATAACAGTGTTATATATGTGATTTACACTGCAAAAACATTCGACTTAATGATAAATTGTTGTCGCCTCTAGTTTTGTTAGGTTCTTGTGCACTTTGCAACTACTTGAACAACTTCAATAAATGTTATTATCTGAAGTGTTTACGATCAAGATGGTATGAAGTATAATACTTTAAGCAATTCAAACTTTTGTGTATCATTATAAATGTAGAAAAAATACAGAAAGTCTTCTTAGTTAGCTTGATATATTTCTTTTGTTTAATATACAGCCATCTGTAATGAAAACATATCCCTAAAGACAAATAACTTGAAAAGGAATGAGAGAGACAAATTTTAGGAGACTGATTATATTTATTCATATATAGAAAAATAATACGTTAGTAACTAATTATACAAAATAATATTCATAGCTGGTATTCGTTACATAACTTAGTTTGTAACTTAATATAACGGATACTGCGTCAGAAATGGTGATTGGTCCTCATCAATTCAGAAAGAGTATAGATTTTTTTCCTATTTCTTTTTTTAAACATTTTATCTTGTTTTGCTAGAAGGATAGTTAGTTCGTCCTCTATCGACTTCTAATTGTCCAATTGGTAGAAAGGCGCCCAAATATCGCCTTGCAATTTCATCATCCCTCAGAAGGTCATAATTAACAATGATTATTTTCCTGTTCCCTTTCAGATCAGGTGTGCCGGGCATGCATGTTTTCATTCTTTTTCATTCCAACGAATTTGTCCCTGGTATTCTTTACTAAAAATGACGATACAGGTTCGAGTACTTGACATCACCTGTGTCATTTCCTGTTCCCGGGCTAATCCCTGTTTACTGTCTCTGCAGGGCCAACACACCTTAAGCATTTTATGCTCTTCTAGATTTGGAAGTTAATTCGATGTCAATCACAGACGAATCTTTTCATTTTTTTCATTGCACTGCTCGCTATATATACGTCGTAACAAATTTAAAATAACAAAGGACATAAAGTCTCCCTTAAATATTTTATGAATTTTCGACCAAATATGAAAAATATTATTACTGAAATTAAACATGTTAAAGTAAAACGACTATAAAGAACGCAGCAGCAATTATGGTACTTATCCATATGAAATTTGAATCTGTTATTCTACATCTAAGGTCTTTCTGTGTCATTATTGAAAAGGAAATTTATTGTCCATGAATCCGGCACAACACTTGTACATTTTTGTTACATTTAGAATCACTCTTCGGAAGCTATTTTTGAAACCAAATATCTTTACATGTCATTCCATTATTAAAGTGTCCAGATAAATCTTGCAAGGATTAAGTTGTCCAATAGATCTGTGTAATGAAAAAATATTGTTTCCTTTTAAATCTATTTCCGCTGTCCTTAAACGAAACAAATGTGAGCTTGGTAATACATGAATGTTGTTGTTTGAAATATGTCACATGCAATGGTGTGTGTGAGATTTTATAAAGATAAACCACATGAAAGAATACGCCTGTTGTCATTTTAGTTGCATTTTATATGATTTATCAAATAATAGAAAAGTGAAAAACAAACATGTGTTATCTGTGACTCAAATTGATAATATCTCAATGGAATTCTTTATAGTCAGCATAATATAGTTACTAGTATACCGTTATCACACTAGGCCACGATCGCACTACGATCTCTGAAAAAATGCAAATTTTGACGATCGTAGTGCGATCGTGTAGATCGCAGTAAGGTCGTGGTACGGTCGTGGTACGGTCGTGGTGAGGTCTTCATGAAACGTGATGAGCGTGGCCAACTTTGAACATGTTCAAAACAATCGTTGTGCGGTCGTGGCGAAATCAGATCGTAGTAGAAGCGTAGCGAGAGCGCAGTAAGGTCGTGGTAGGATCGCAAAGGTCGCTGTACCATCGTAGCGAGAGCGTAGCAAAAGCGCGATTCTAGTCGGAGAATTTGCGCTACGATCTCACAGCGACGTTACTGCGACCTCACTACGGCTATACCACGTTTATACTACGCTGTTCAAGACCATACTACGATTCTAGCACACTCATGACGCTCGTCTTTCGACCTAACTACGTTCATACTACGACCATTTTGAGTTCTAGCCATGCTCGAGCTAATTGTTATTGTCACATAAAATATATAAAAGCGCTCCAGGTTTGTTTGTCTGTATGCATTTGGACCTCATGCCCCTATTTCCCAACAGCTGAATCATGCTTGACAAATCTGTATCATTCCCAATATCGTCATTTGATCTTGATGGATCAGCAATACGTTGTGATTCAGGTAAGATTGGTTGATTCGACATCTCATCTGGATCAGGACTCGTATCAGATGCCCCTCTGAGTCTACCTCTATCCCTACAACCACGCCTACGAGTTCTGGTAGATTTTGGTGGTATGTCTGTGTTATTTCCAAGAATTCTACGTATTAATGAAAGTTAGAAGGCATGGAACAGTATGCATATGGAACATGATGCTGACGTTATTGCTGAGAGCGTAGTTAGATCTCGATATGAACGTGGTAAGATCGTAGAATGATCGTGGTAAAAGCGTGCTATAATCGCAGAAGAAGAGTGGTAAGATCGTGTTGCAATCAGA